TATGGTGTAAATATGTGAATACATAAATACGAATGTGATTTCCAATGCAAAGATGAAAGTGTGAATGCAAAGATGCGAACACAAATGTAAAGATGCGAACGTAAATATAAAGATGTGAATGCGACTGTAAAGATGCAAAGATGAGAGTGCAAATGCAAATGCCAAAGGTTTTTATCTCATTGATGAATATCATAGAATAATTTTTCATAGATAAAAGTCTTAATTCTACAAGATAGACCATTTTATAGACATAATTTTACTTGAACACGGGGTCTGGATTGGCTCGATACTTCATATCAGATCTTCATCCTTAAAATTATGCCCTCAAGCGCTATATTACTTATCTCGGTTGATGCCCCTGTGATGCTAGATTCACGTGTCACTCTTTGATGGTTAAAGGTGGAAATGTCATAAATAAGAATCCATTACTGCATTGTTTCTTGGATAAAGGGATCATCTTTCAAGTCTGGCACATTGTCGTATTAGTCAACTCTGTTACGAAATCTTCAAGCAAGCTTTCTCGTTTTATAACTTCCCTTAGCCATCAATGTCTGTTTGTGTATATGGCTACTTGATTGAAAACTTTTATCTCTATTTTTGAAAAATTTTCCAATTAGAGATTCATCTGTGGATCAACACCTTCATGTTATGCTTTAATGATGATGCAATGCAAAAAGACCAAAAATGACATAAAAATCAGAAGAAGAAGAAAACGAGTTAGTATATGTAAAATAACCAATAAAAGGTGATGTTTAAAGATAAGTATAATACTTACCTAATCATGGTATCTACCCGAGCATGCTTTTATTAATAAGAATCCTACCCATAAATGTTTTCTACCTGACATGGTTTATTTCAGGAAGTAAATCCTAATCACATGGTATATAGTTCGCATGATTTATTCGAAAATAATTTTATTCTATGGATTTAAAGTAAAAAGTGAAGGTTCAGAGTCATTCCTCCTTGATGTCGATGCCCCCTGGGCTACCAAACCCTCAATCCTCATCCATTATAGACTAAAACGGATCGAGTTCAATTCGAGAAAACATATTTCTTATGTCTATGCAGAAGGCTACTCACGAAGATCATAAGGGTATACACTCCGAGAGTGATTCACTAGCTTGTGTGGAGGGATGCTCACAAAGGGCACTAACAATTCACTCCCAGTTAATGGGATAAAAATCAGGTATAGAGCTTATGACATGCAAATGCATGTGTTGTGTGTGTGAGGAGGAACTCATAAACCTTTCGACAAAAAAAATTGAGACTCATTTTCAAAAATCTTAACAAGTCTGAAAACAATGAGATCAAACACCAATACAACTATTTACAAGAGTAAAAAATGATGCATAAATATGAAAATTGAAATTAAAAGGATCGTAATTCAAGTAAAGGTTCAAAATTTATAAAATTCTAATCACTCAGACAACATATAATCAAGTCAGGCCCAACTCTCAAAATTTCCCCAGTCGAGTAATATCACCAAGTTGTCGTCACCGTTTTTTTCACTGGACATCGAAAAAATAGATGTACGACACAATTTTTGAGTAATGTCATTTTTTAAAAAAATATTTAAAGATGAAAATTGGTTTGCGTTTAACCATAAATTCATTTTTACGGATTCGAGAGTTGGTTATGCGTGGGGAGTGATAAGCACCCCATAGCGCCTAAGATTGATACCTCTCGATTATACGTTTCCGAAAACGATGAAATTTTACAAATTTGAACTCGAAATTTAAATTATTTCTATGCTTTTTCTGGAATGAGTGAATTCATTTTGTAAAATATTTGATTCGATGAAAGATTAAATTCTCTCGATTTTATTTAAAAAGGATGTCTTTTTTCTACGTGAATTAACATAAATTAAAATCCAGTTATGTTGGATGTAATTTCGTTAACTCATGAAGCAAGACAACATTGCCTTGGAATCTTGTGGAAAATGAGTAATCAAACATTTGATTTATGAGTGTAATAGTAATAAATGTAATGTACAAATTAGATGAAATATCCACGTAACATGACAAATAAATAATAAACGATAACAAATATAATTTTTATTCAAATAACCCTTGAAAAGGGCACTCCAAGTCTTTGGAGGTCTTTCATAAGTTAACTGTACAATTAAATATTTTAAAGCTTTTCAAAATATTGAATATACCACCTTGTTAAAAATATATTATGTATACATTCAAATATATATAAAAACTATCTTTAATAAAACATATGCATATTTTTGTATAAAAAACAAATACAATATATAAATATATTATTACAATGAATAAATATAAGCTTGACACATAAAAAATGTGTTATTTATATTTATATATACATATATATATATATGTAAACACGTACATATTTAGGATTAACAATATATAAAACTAAGATAACAAAGGTATAAACATACATATAAAATAACACAAAGACTAAATTTAAAATACTAAAAATACAAGAAAAATATCGAATTATGCATCCATATTATTCCATACTAAAGCTTGGTTAAACAAACACAAACAAAACTAGAAGGTCTTAATATATAAATACAACAATTTTGAGCAATATTACAAATAAAGACTAAAATATAACAACGTTAAATAAATGAATTAAACTAGCCATTTAACCAAATGATATTAATAAAGCATACGGTGAAGAAAATGTAAAAATGACAAAACTCGAAGTTAAAACTCAGAAATAACTCATGTTTCATTTATGGACTGAAATGGAAGCTTACAAAACTCGGATGACCTAGAACGCTATTTATCCCATGCGCTGAAACGTGGTGCCCTACCTTGCCTTAAATGTCGTCATTTTATGGGAGCAAGGAGGGCACCAAAACGGTATCGTTTTGATGGTCATATAAATAAACTTCTTTAGTTTTATTTTTCATTTTTTACATATTCTTTTCTCTCTCTACCCCGGTTTTTCTCTCATTTGTCTCTAAACTAGGAGTGCCCGGTGGTGGAGTCTTCCGTCATCGCCTACTGCGCTGACCCCCGTTAGCCACCAAATTTCACATGGTGGCTCATCTCATCACGGTGAGTTTGGATCGGGGCTTCATTTTGTGAGATTCGACCTCTTTCACCATGAAAAGGGTCGAGAAATCCTCGACTTTTCAGGCTCCGATCTTCGCCGTCCACCATTGGATAGAGTTGTGGCTGAGGTATGACATTCCAGGGGTTGCTCCGGACCTTCTCACCGTTCGAATTAACCGACGGAGACTCCCACCGTCGGTGAGAGGCTTCAGCCGAACGGTAAGCTTCCTCTCTTTTTGATTCTTTTTTTTTTGGTTTTCTGTGTTTTTTCGAATATGCTCTCATTTTTTCCTCCTTCATTTTTTTGTGTAGTTACTGCATGCTATAAAAATTACCAAGGTTGCTTGCTTGTTTGGTGAGGGTTCAGCAGAGGAGTATGGCTATGGTAGGGGGTGTCCGGTTTGTGAAGAAACAGGGATTAGGTGTGATTTGTTTGTTTGTTTTTATTAGATTTGATTTCTGATTTTTTATTGTATTTGATATGATCTGCTGAGATTTGGAACACAGAATTTGTTGAGGTGGTCGACGACGGTGGCGTTAGTGGAGGTAAAGGAGAGGCGACGTTAGCAGCTGGGGTTTAGGGTTTTTAGATTTAGGGCAATTTAGGGTTGATTTGGTTTAAAGGGTAAATGAATTGGATTGGTTTGTAATTTAGTTTGGGCTCGGGTCGATGGGTTTGTAATTGGGCTCGGGTTATGTAATAATATATATATCACGAAAAAAAATGGTGATTACACTTTGGTTTTCATGCACCTGTACTAGTTTGTTTGAAGCTTTGTCTTGCTCTCAACTTTTAACTTCGATTCACTTGTACGGCGTTTTGGTTCTTTTTGCTTATAAATGTATTTCATCTATGAAAATTTCTCATTCGTAAATACATGGTACCAGTGTTCCAATTTACCAACAGCAGTTGAGCAACATGACATATAGTTGTTAAAGCTCATTAAGTTTATATTCAATACCATCAAATTTTAGGAAAAATTCACAAGCATGATTTTGATTGTCATGAATAACCATCAATGATGAGCCATGATTAATTGACAACAATAATTAAAAAAATTGATAATTTTCTATAGAAATATAGAGAATAAATGATCAAGTCAACGATTGATTAATAGCAACAATCAAAGGAGTTGATAATTTTATATAAAAACACATAGAGGAAACAACCACACATTCCATTGTCGGAAGTTTAGTACTAAAATCAAAGTGTGTTAAAGCTTAATGACCAAATCAATATTTTAACAAAAGTTAAGTGACTACTTGGATAATTTGTCTTCTAAAAAGTGAGTTAGCTTTAGAATGATTGCTTTCCGTTTACATATATGGTAAGTATATTTAGAACAAAAATATGTATGTATGGCAAGCATTTTTCATCCAGCTTTGCTGGTATAACTCACTTCCTAATTAGGGAGGTTCCGAAACTCTCTCATCCAAACGAGAAAAATAAAACCTCAAGCTTAGGTGTCCGAATATAATTGTCACTTAAACAATCTAAGCTGTCACGGGAGAATTTAGAGTATCTTATTTTTTTTATGGATTAATAGTTTAACTGTTTAGAATTGTGTACATCTTTATCTAATTATATAATAATAATCTATCATATTTAGTTTATCAATAATAAAATTATATTATTAATTCAAAATAAGGGAAAAGAACTTTGGAAGGAGTTTTCTTTTCCAAAGGAATAGTGAAAACATGAACCAAGAGTAATATCAACTTTAAATCTTATATAATATTGTTTGTTATTTCACCTTTAATTCAATCGGAAGCAGCATCCTAAGTTAACCATATAATTTACATGAAAAATATAATTAAATATACAGTATGACGTGGATTCGCAATGCCAATGATGTAAATACCATAAAGTAGGAAAACAGAGAAAATTAAAGCGAAAGAAATGAACGGCTCAGATTCACTCATGGGTTTCTGGCTCTTCTTTTATCTGCCCCCATCTGGTCGTCTCCACTTCTTCACTTCTCTGTCCTCTCTCTCACACACAGTTGTTCTCTCAAAGCTTTTACCTTTAGAGGAGTAAAGAAAATAAAGGAACACAGAAGATGATGCTAGGGAAGAGACCCAGGCCGAGGCCACCGATGAAGAGAACAACAAGCTTGTCAGAGATCGCTTTTGATCTAAACACAACCGGCGTTGAAACTCCGCCGTCTGATCCACATAATAACACTCACCCGAAACAGGACGCTGGCCTTCCTGGTGGCGTTTGGGGTCCACAGATACAGGCTAATGGTGATGGTAGTGGCGTTGATGGTGGAGGGTTAGATCAGCGGTTGTTGGCGTCGGTGTTACCTAGAGTTCATAGAAGACATTCAGCTGATTTCATGGAAACCCCTCAATTCTTGAGGTCTTGCGGCCTTTGCAGACGTCGCCTTGTTCCCGGACGTGATATTTACATGTATAGGTAATTTTTCTTCCCTTAAACTACGTTTTGTGTATTAAATATTAACTGACAAAAAATTTAAAAAGTAAGAACAAAGTTGGAATCTTAAATCTCAACTTCTTATATGAATTTATTAATTATTTGGGATATATATAATTCAACACTGTTTTCTCTTTTCAAAGGAAAAAAGTACGGTTTTCGTTTGCAGTTCTGATCTGATTTTTCTTTTTGGTAGTGAAGTTTTTGATTTTCCACAGGATGGAATTTCAAGATGCTTAGTTACTTGCAAGGACTCTTCTTCAGTTGTGTTTATTTGTTATTGCATGCCTGTTAATATTCTCAACATCTCCTCATTTCTTTAACAATTTCGGGAGTTCGTCGTCGTCGTCTCCTTTTTTTAATAATTTAGTAGAAAATTTCATATCTGCGAATATTTCAATAATTGAATGAATCCCATTATTCATTTTTATTAACTAAAAAAATCAGACTTACTTTTAGACATTTATTTGGTCGGGAAATCCAAGTTAAATAATACTCCATCACTATTGTTTAATTGCAGGGGTGATAACGCATTCTGTAGCCTAGAGTGCAGGCAACAGCAGATGAACCAAGACGAGAAGATAGATAAATGTTCGGTAGCATCGAAGAAACAAGCCTCCGCTTCATCTGCTGCAAGATCCAGTGTCTCCGCCAAAGGTGAGACGGTTGCCGCCGTTTAGCTATATTAATCACCGTGGCTCAATTTCCATGCTACTAAAGGAATCCATCTGCCCAATACACATATAAATCAATGTATGGGCAGTACAAGTTTTAGCTTTGTAATGCTAATGGGACAAGTTTTGGACATGCTATTTTATGTGGATCCAAAAAAAAAAAACTATACCAAAAAAATTAAATCTCTACTTCAGTATTCCCTATAATATTCCCTTATCTTTTGCTATTAAAGATTTGCAGATTTATTTGGTTTTCTAATGGTTTAAAGGGTTGATGAAGAACCTAAAATAACAATATAATGAAATGAAGAAAACTTTAATACATTCGATTACAAAACAATAAACTTGGATAATTTTATATTAGGTGAATAAATTTATAAAATTATAAGGAATAATAAATTTATAAAGTTAAAAAATAACAACTAAATATATAAAAAAAATCGGGAATAATTGACTAACTCTACCTTTTATTAATCTATCATATTCTTTTTGTCTTATTCATTATGTTTTTTTTAAATTGTTTTGATAAAAATGTCTTATAATAAAAGTCAATAAATAATATTATTCATATTTCTTTTTTATGTTTATATGTTTCATTCTTTTATATCCATCAAGATAAATTAATCAAATTTATCTATAATTTTTTAATGATAATTCTTTTTATTTATCTTGATTAAATATATCTTTTAAAATTATGTTTATAGTGAAAATAAGATATAAATTATGAGACGAGAAAAGTATTAAATAAATAGAATCTAGGTCTAATGGAGGGCCTGGAGGCAGGGCCGGCCCTGAGCATAGGCGAGGGGGGCGATCGCCTAGGGCCCGGAGGGGCTCATTTTTTAAAATATTTTTAAGTTTAATAATTAAAAAATATTTTTAAACATCATTTTTTTATTTCAAACACTCGAAAACATGATAAATATTCTTGATTTTTATAGTAAACTGTGATATTTATAGTAAACTATGATATTGATTATTTTTGTCTTACATTACGCGTGTAATGTTCGGTATTCGTAGATACAATATAAGGGGCCCACTCTTGAAAATATTTTTAAATTTAATAATTAAAAAATATTTTTAAATATTATTTTTTTATTTCAAATATTCGTAAATATGGTAATCTAATGGACCCCATTTTAATGATTAAGAGGAGAACTATGTGTGAGTTCCACTTATCTTCTTGTCATCACGTCCTGACCTAGGACCCTTAAAATATCAGGACGGAGCCTGCCTGAGGGCTGGAAAGCTAAAACACCAATGATCATTTATACAGCTAATTGACTAAATAATTAATAATCACAAATTGCAAGGTTTATTGTCATTGTCAGTCCATTTATCAATCACTGGTATGTTGTTTTCCTCCATTGATTGGCCTTTGTTGTTTTCGACTCCCTACTTGTATTTTTTGGACGTTACCAACTCTCCTCCAATGACCTTTCTCGTTTAAAAGAGTTATACCAAAGTTTTAATCCAATCCCAACTTCACAACCAATTTTGTAATCATTTCATAATTTTTATATTTGAATCTGGCGATTTGCATTTAACAACTGTATTACATCAACCTATTTAACTAAACACACACAATTAATTTTTAAAAGGTTAATGATAATGAACTAAAGTGATAATTAATGAAAATATAAGAGTCAAATTAAAAGTAAAAAAGGGCTAGAAATGAGAATCATGATCTTTAATTTTACCCGAAGAGAAATAAATGTTTCTACTTGAGTACACCAATCTTCTTCTCCGGGAAGTTGAAAATAATTATGAGAACGATAGAGAATTCCACAATTTGTTAACTCAATAATTAAGTTCTAAAACAATTATTTTTAAATTTTATAGTTTTAATAATTAAATTAATGATTTCTTCTTTAATCCTTTCAATAAAGAAAATCTAATTGAGGTTAATTATACGAAAAATAGTAAGACGTTGAATTCAAGCACTCTTGGATCAATTAAAAGGAGAAAGATTAACATGCCATAGTGTTTTTCAATTCAATTATCAGCATAAACAATTTTAACCATATTTATTAGCAGAAGATTGGTGGCACATGTTGATACAAATTCATTTTTAAACAAGAAACTCAACCATGTCGTAAGTGCCAATTCCAGTAACACCCACCACGAACGCGATGACAACGAGAGACAACCAGAAGTCAAACGGTTTCAGACCGGGAGCATTGCCGGGGATTGATTCCACGGTATCCGGACTCGGTGCCGAAGCTTCACCCAACACGGAATTTGACTTTGGTAATTGAACCACCGACGCTGAAGACGAAAGGTGTGGCGGAGGTAGAGTCGCCTCGAAGTTAACCTTTTGGCCGGCGAGACAACGGCCCGGGAGACTACAAATGAAGTAATAGTGGCTTGGCTTTGTTAGGTTGATGGTGTCAGAACCCGATGAGTAGAATGCAATTGGAGATGTTGCATTGCATGAGTTGTAATTCTGGTGAGTCACACGGACCACATTACTGAAATTTTTGTTGTACTTGAAAACTGGAAGAAAAAAAAAACAGAAATTAACTTGGTTTATGATAATACGTAATACTGTAGAAAAACAATAGATTTAAAGGAAGAGTTTAGGTGAGAAATCCTTTACGTACTAACAACATCGCCAACATGGAAGTTCCTGGTTGCTGCCCATAGTTTGTAATCGAGTGGCAAGCCGACGGTGATTGTGGTCCAACCGAGGAAGCCGCCGACCCAATGGACGGTTCCCATGGAGACGCCCCAAATGGACATTGTAAAGATGAAAAGCACCGCACTCTTAGCAAATGCCATGCCTCCAGTGTTAGACAGACTGCTTGAACAATCAAACAAGTTGATGTTGGAGTGAAATGTGTCTGATTAATATAACCTTATTATATAAGCCCATAATGTTTAACTTTTTTTCTTTCTTATAAATCACTACTTACAACATTCTCTGTTAAATGATTCAGCCTTTTCTATTTTTCTTTTTAAAAAATCCCAAATGGAACTCTCCAATGAATTAAAACATGATGTGCGACTTCTAGTTTAATGTTTGAGTTGGTCTCTAAAATATATCATTTTTTTTCATTTTAATTTTTAAAATTTATTGTTTAATTTTTTTCAATAATTGTATTTTGATATCTATTTATGTCATTACTAAAGTGTTTTTGGTTTAAGTTGTGTTTTGGTATCGCTTTGTGTTATTTGTTTTTTTAATTAGAATTTGTGTTATATGTTAAATGAAGTTAAGTTGTGTTTTGGTATTAATTTGTGCTATTTGTTGAATGAAATTAAGTTGTGTTTTGGTATTAATTAAGTGTCGGTTAAACGGTACAAATGATAATTTATGTTTAAATATTAAAGTTTACAACCATAAACACATGACATTTTATTAACACAAAAATTAGTCACTTAAGATCACACAAAGATCATACAAAGAAGAGATTAAAAACTTTAACTAGAAAATCGAACAAAAGATGGATACATATAGGCCAGACTGCATCAGCAAACAAACCGCTAAAGAGGATTAAACTATTGAAAGATCATCAACAAACCATAAATCAGAGTGAATGACATGAAATAACTATTCAAAACCGCAAAAGAGGATTAAGCTATTGAAAGATCATCAACAAACCACAAATCAGAGTGAATGACCTGAAATAACTATTCATAAATGCAAATTGAGTATGCAACTCCAATTCGAGGGTCCAAAGAAAAAAAATCAACATGATAACAAATAAATGTTTGATCAGTCGTGGCGATGTCAGATTCAATCCTAAAAAACAATAAATTAAAAATAATGGTCAGACGACCAAAAGCATGCCGTAAATGCAAAGCTATTAAAAACCAAAAAAATAAAAGAAAAACAAAGATATGATGCAAGAAATTAAAAGGAAAACAAGAAATTTTTACAATGATAAGTAGCTCAAAGACTGATGACGTCTCCTATCAATCAAGAACGAAGAAAAAGAAGATTTTAGAGTTTGAACATTTCATTTATTTTAGTCATTAATAATTAAAATATATTATAATTGATATTAAAGGTGTAATAAAATGATGTCTTAGACATATTAAATTTTTAATTTAATTAATTAATTATAATTAAAATATCAATTTAATTTTTCTAAAAGGTCTAAATTCTTCTAAAAGTACCGAAAAATATTTATAATTTTATATGAGTTAATTTTTTTTATACATTTATTTAGTTGAGGATCTCTCATTTTGTCCATGAGAACCTTGTAACAGTTAGTGTATTATATTTTCAGAATATCTATATGCGATTTCAATATCAAAAGGTTTGTTTTTAACCCTTAAGAGATGGTACCATAAACTTTTAAAAACCAGAAGATAAAACTCCAAAGCTAGAAGTCATACATAGATATCTCAAAAACATAATAGCTTTCCATTGTTCGACATTCCAACAACAACCGGAGATATCTCAACAATAAAAAAACAACCAATAATTCTAATATTAAATTTCGTTTGTTAAATATTAAAACCAATAATTCTAATATATGATAAAATCTTTATTCCTTCTGGTTGCAATCTTTTTTAAAAATGTTTTTTGAGATAAGCATTGGAATGATAAAATAATAAGATTAAAATTTAAAACAAAATATTTTTAAATAAAAATATTGAAATTGAAATCTTTTGTTTCCATCAAATCCTTATCCAACTAAATTTTAAAATTAAAACGTTATCCTCATATTTAAATATTTATTTACAATACCTTTTTGTTATTTGAAACTTCAATCTTAAACTTTCAATTCTTGACATCAACCTATTATTTTCTATAATATCAAACGCCTGAAAAATGAAATCTAGTATTGCTGCCACTTGTATTTTAATGGTTTTGATTAGAGTGGCAAAGGCTGAGGTATCGCCATCATTATCTCCATGGGAGAGTTGTTCAACTATTATATATGATATGATAGATTGTATCCCGTTTTTGAGCGGAGACAGCACCGAAGACAAACCAACAGTTGCATGTTGTTCTGGGTTTAAAATAGTAGTGGGAATCAATGCTGAATGCATTTGTGAAGCCCTTAAAAGCAGTGTTGATCTGGGTGCCGATATAAATCTTACAAAGGCCGCTGCTTTGCCTTCAGCTTGTCAAGTTTCAGCACCTCCCATCTCCGAATGCAACTTAGAAGGTCACCTACTATTATTGTATTCTTTTTTATTGTTACTTATTTCAGTGTGACCCATATTTTAAACTGAGTTAATGTTTTCTGCAACGTTACAACAGTTAACCCTCCTCCACCGAGTGAATCTCCGATCCCAATTTCAGGGCCAGCGGAAACACCAGCACCTGCAGGTGAAGTTGCTAAACATGCTCCCTCACCGTCCTTGTCTGGGACTTGCTCACTATCATCTTCTTTCTTTCTTCTCTTTACCATGCTACTCATTTGTATTTGTTATATCTCTGTGTAATTTTGTTTTTGCTGGATTTAATGGTTATAATAAGTCATGATTATACTCCCTTGTTTTATTTTTCTCCTGTAATTCCATTTTCATTCTAAAGTTTACACTATTTGCTTAGACCCTTAAAATGTTTATTGCCTTCATCCTGAATAACATTAAGAACAAAAAATTTGCTAATACAATCACTTTTTTATAATTTTTAATAGGCTACTCCCCTGAACAAAATAATTGCTTTCAGTTTTTCATAATTTTTTCTCACCCTTTTTTCTCCAAATCAAGGTTTATTAACGGCATTGAACATGATGACTTGTATTAATCAGTTATGAATGATAAATGTATGTGATATCGTAATTGCACCTAGCTCCTATTTTATAGTGGTTTCCATTTCCATTAAAGTAACTCGTGTTCGTAATTTTGCTTCGAAATTTAATTGTATTGTACAGATTTTTAGGAGTTAAACTTCATGAGATAGTCTATAGGACTTACTTAGTGAAGTTTAAATGGAAAGAAATACTGAGAAAACTAACCTGATTTTCATCAGTTTCTACAAATATTTTCAATATATGCTTTTAAATTTTGGGAACTATGTTTTTACTTTTAATCAAAAACAATTATTATAAAGTTACACCAAATAAAAGTTGAGACGGCTGTACCACCACCCACCCAAGGACCCTTGATCTACAAAGATTTGTTCATTTGGTTAAGAAAAACAAACGAAACATACTAAACGGCAGTCTTCATTAGGTGTAATAAAAACCCATCACATTTTTTTGGTACATCAATAATCACTTTCTTATTGCAAAACATATTAACTTAAAGGCCTTTTAATATGCATGAGAAAATCGAAAATTTAACTGTCTACAAATGAAGATAAAACAATAACAAAAATTTGTTGTATTTTCAAAAAGAACTACTTACCAATACAGAACTTGCCAAAGATGTTGGATAAAATCTCCTCGGAAATGTCTTCTCCACTTATCTGGCCAAGAGCCAATGCAGCCTCTTTTAAATCAATTGTCCAAAAATCAAGAGGCAACTCCTCCTTTATAGTCTATGCCAATCTTACAAGCGCCTCCTTGGCTTGCATCAGCTGTTCACATTGTCTCTGAGACTCCCCATGAAATTAGTATTCCATAAGCAGCAGCCAGAAATGGATATGGAACTAGGGTCGTCTAAAAGCAAGAAAAGAAAAAAGGGTTTGGCAGTTTTAAAAATGCTAACCTGGTTAACGGTCCATCTCCGTCCCCCAGTGGGGATCTTGTTTAGGCCAACGATCTCTAAGATTGATTTCTCCAAATCATATATCCCTTGACCCGTGATGGCACATGTAAAGACATGCTTACTGAAAGACTTGGTCTCTCTGTCGACCCAATCAAAGCATGCAGATGAAGCACAGTCTATTTTATTGATTACTAGAATCATTGGAATGGATGTTGATCCCTGAAACCCCAAAACAACACCCAGTTTCAGTATGTTCTCAAAGAAGATTAATTCATTGGATGAGGTACTTAACAATGGAAAAAGCTGCGAGATAATTGGATATCAATAGCAATGCCAATAGCTTACCATATTGGATTGAATCCTCTCAAGAAGTTTAGTATCTTCCATAGCCCATCCATCATGCACTCACTGTCATTATGATGACATCAGCACCCATAGCAACGGCTTCAGATCTTTCCACACCTAGAACAAAGTTAACGTACAAATCTGAGTAATTATTGACATATTAAGAGAACCATAAAGCATAAAATTAACTACCTGTGAATAGAGCTGTTAAAATAATATACTTGAACCGTTGAACCCTGAAGATGCCACAACTAAATCTTGAAACATTTACTATTTGCTATACAGTGCTGCAGTGCAAAACTAAATACAATTTTCTTCACCCAGAGAAAAACTAAAATCTTGCATGGCATTGTTACCAACGACATAAACCATAGCATTTCCAATGTGAATTTCCCATTATGTGTGCGTTCAAGAGACTGGCAACTGAGTCAAATATATATTTATAGGAATCGACTTTCCTATTAAAAATCATCAGCTAGCAAAATAATCAACTTGGAACTCCTATTCGATGATTATAAATTAAGGTATTTTAGGAAATAATCAGGCAAGGAGAAAAATTTTACCGATCTTCACCACAATATCATTAGTTTCCCTTATGCCTGCAGTATCAAGAAGCGTTACAGGGACACCAGCAACACTAACACTGGCTTCCACCACATCTCGAGTGGTTCCTGCAATCTCTGTAACTATTGCCCTCTCACTCTGCACGCTAAAAGCAAGACACGGGGCTGAACTAGATGCCATGTCATTTCTATGCGAAAGAACCAGTGCCCAAATGAAAGGACTTGCCAGTTCATCAGTCAAACAAATTGTTTAGATGATGTAACACAGACATCAAAACTGAGAGATGTTCACTCATAAATCATGCAATAGGAAGGAAGGAGGGAAAACAACGTACTTTGCTCCAGATATTAAGAAGGCTTGACTTCCCAACATTCGGACGTCCTACAATTGCTATCTGCAAGATTTTGGAAAAGGAGGCGACTGCATCATTGATACATATCTTAAACATACGATGCACAGCCAGTCTACAAGTACAAACATGTAAAAGCCAAAAGCTTTATCTATCTTACTACCAAAGAACCACAATCACAGGTAGATATAAATAATCCAACTGAATGATAAAAAAGTTGGGAACTGCTCTGTTACTTTTATGATATGTTTGGGGAGTAAAATGTGAATTCTAAACAAGAAACCTCTTTCTGCAATTGAAATCACGCATTCAAAGATCTTGTATGGTAAGAGATTTTATCTGCAACCCTGATTGCAGAAGTTTGTCATAATTGGCTGTCTCCAATGCATGCTCTAAATCCTGAGACATGGCATGGATTCTATTCATAATTAGGTTGACATCGAGTGGTGGCATCTCATCTTCAAAATCTAAACGAGCCTCTATCTCAGTAATCAACTCAATGCATTGTCCTCGCAAAGAACTGACTAAAGTAGAAAAGACCCCCTGTCAGACAGTCAATCACATCAAAATTGTTAATCACACTGCCAACAGATCCTTGATTGGAAGAATTATATGCAAATTTAAAGGTAATAAAAAAGATGGAGAAAACAACAAGATAGTTAGAAAAACAGAATGTAAAGATGAAAATGACTGAATTCCTGCCAAAGCTGAATCAGCAGCAGCAACAGACTTAGGTGAAATTAGTTTCCCAACATTTTCAGCTTGTGAAAGATCTAAGCGACCATTCAAGAATGCACGGAGGGTAAATTCGCCTAAAAACAGGAGAAGGAAGTAACACAAAAGATTAGGGACATTTTTTTAATTAAAAGATACAATATATATATATATATGGGCATGACACTCTGATCAACTAGAACTGAAGGTTTCAATTAATTTATTTTTTATCTAAGAGTCGACGAGCCACCACAGAAATTTTTACATAAGCTAAACGCAACCTGGTTCAGCAAGCCTAGCTCCAGCTTCTAAACAAAGCACAACACTCGACGCAGGCACACTTCACTCCCATGGCACTGGAGCTCAACCACATCTTCACGAGTATATGATTTTGGAGCCAGCATCGGCACAGCTAAAACCTTAAAAAAAGCCAACTTTACAATCTACACCCCATGCTTCAATTCCAATAACGAAAAACACAAACAACCAACAAAAAAGTTATACCTCATCAACTACATTTCCCTGAGAATCCAAAACAACGCCATACTCAACAACATGGCTTGCAGGCCTCCAAGAACCCGAACAGGAATCGAGTCTCTTCTTATTCCTCATCTTTTTGGCCGGGAAAAAGACACGGCCAGCGATATCGACAGCGGTGGGACCAGACAAACGAACGATGCCAACGGCAGCAGGAGGGCCGCCTAAAGAAGTGACAATGGCTGCAATGGTGCTGGTCGAGCTCTGAGTCTGAATTGAATCGTCCTGGTTCACTGAACCCAAACCCAGCAAGCGCTCATCGTTGTTGGAAACAAAGGCAGTCTCTGCAGTGGAAAAAGAGGTGAAACGGGCAATTAAATATAGAAGTGAAAATGAGAAGAAAAAATGAATTTTGAGGGAGGGAATCAGAGAAGATGAATAACCTTGGTGAGTGGAGGCAAGGGGTTTAAGTGGTGGGGTTTTAGGGGAGAGAGAAGAAAGTTTTTTGGGGAACAAAAGAGAGGAAAGGATTAGTTTTGGAGGCGGTTTTGTTGGCCTGTAAAAACGAGTGGCAGCAATACGGAGAGACGGGAGTAGAGCCATTGCCTGTGTCTGATTTTTTGACTGCCGACCACTGTATTTGAGGATGCTCTTCTCTTCCTTTTGCCGATCTATGGAGTTTGCAATTGTCCATTGGGTTCAACTGGGCTTTGTTACATGTTCAAATCCTGGAGAGCTTCACTCACATAAGCCGTAGGCTTCTTTCGATCCAAAAACCCATATGGTTACTGAATGAACAGCTTCATCTACTTCTTCTTTTTTTATTATATTGTTTAGATTTAATTTATCCAATATAAACAAAATTTTAAGATTAACTACAAGATTAATAATTATTTTTTTATGTTTTGTCCATTTTTTCTTACTGAATTTTAAAAACATAATATTTAGTCTTTTTTCTGTTTTTATTTGATTAAAATATAATCACTAAAAATTATCATCCATTCTACCTTTAATGTATTATTAACATAACACATTAATAAATGGGTATGTCTTGATTAATTTTTGATGCATGCGGAAAATGAAAAATGGATCCGTAATTCAAAATAAATATATGTAATATAAATTTTTATTACTTTTTTTAAATTAAACAAATATTAATTCATTACAATATCAAAAATATTTTTCTTAAATCATTGCCTTCGAGCATTTATTGATTTATAATCATTAATGATAGTGTTAACATTAATTTTTTCCAACATATTTTTCTTAATGCATAACATAGCATTTGGAAATAAAAGAACGATCTTTTCTAGAATTTAGAACTACATAAAAATCAAAAGAAATAATTTGAAAACATGATCCTACCTAGAATCTTAAAAGCAATCTTCAATATGATTCAAGCACCACAATTGATGATAAACAATTATGATTTTGTTTTTTTAGAAATATGAGAAATTAAAAAAGCAAGAATAATAATTTTTAGAGAAATTGGGAAATATAAAGAATAAAAGAAGCATGCTAATTATAGTTAATTTTTTTCTCACATTAAGTTTTAGAGAAAAAATAACGTTAATAGAAATTTTCATTGATATAAAAAATTAGGAAAGATATTTGATAAATTAATGGTAAGAATTTGAAAAGACCAAAATAAAAGAGATTCAATTATTTTTTAATTTTAAAAAATAAATATTGAATTAGAGTTTATAAAAAGTTAAACAATTTATTAACATTAATATAAAAAAAAGTTAATAATAAAAAATAACATTTTAATAAATTCATAGATCTCATTATTTTATTTTATAATTTTTTAAAATCTATTATCATAACATAAAAAATATTATATTAAGATTTTTTAAAATTTATGGGCCCCGGGCAGGCACCCTCTTGCCCTAGCCCAGTACCAACCTAAAGCAATGTTTTAAGAAGCAAGCAAGAGATAAAATTTTTGAACGATTTAACATATATAACCAGAGACCCACTAAGAATTGTTCAATAAACGAGGTAAAGAACACATTTTTAATAGAGAAAATAACCTCAGTGACCAAAAATCCCATATAATATACGATTTTAACCAACTTTTTCCAGATTTGTCAAAATGACCAACAAAATCACAATGCGATCGCTAATTTGCAACGCGATCTCCATTATCGCAAATCAGTTTCCAGATTCGCAACGCGATTATTACTATCGCAATGCGATTTTCCAATTTTGCGTTGCGATTTTCCCAATTCGCAATGCGAATAAGTAAATCGCAATGCGAATTTGGAAAATCGCAATGCGATACTGACTATCGCAATGCAATTTTCCTAATTCGCATTGCGATTTACGTATTCGCGTTGCGATTAAGTAAATCGCAATGCGAATTAGGAAAATCGCAATGTAAATATGTAAATCGCAATGCGAATCTGACTATCGCAATGCGATTTACATAGCGCCATTCGTATTAACGCGTTTTTTTTTTAAATTCCAAACACGAATTTTTTCTTAATATATCGGAAACTGAACCGTCCACAGTAATCGTAACTCATAACCTCAAACCTAAAATCACAACACTCAGTCCCATCTCTATCTCTCACTCTCTAAGGTGAAATCCGTCCCCATCTCCGAAGATTTCCATCCCCATCGCCGGCGAAATCCCTCACAACCATTCACGGTCATAAATCCCTCACAATCATTCAGAAATGGAAAATCAACCTCCGAGGGTTAGTTTTTTTAATTATTTTTATTTTGAAATTTTTGTATTATTTTAGGTTTTTCATATTGAAATTGATGATAAGTTTACTGGTAATTTCAATAATAGATTAACCATGTCACTTAAATTTCTTATTAAATCATTCGATTGCTGCCAATACTGCTAAACTGTTTAGTATTTAACCCTGTGAAGTTAGTATTTGTCTTTGTTTTGTCTTTTGGTTGAAGTAATGCAGAAGAAGAATAGTTTCGAGAATGAAAATCGCAACGCGGAAATGACTATCGCAACGAGAGAATCGCAACGCGAAATGAAAATCGCAACGCGAAATGAAAATCGCAACGAGATAATCGCAATGCGAAACCAAAATCGCATTGCGATTTTCATTTCGCGTTGCGTTTCTCTCGTTGCGATTTTCATTTCGCGTTGCGATTCTCTCGTTGCGATAGTCATTTCCGCGTTGCGATTTTCATTTCAACCAAAAGACAAAACAGTGTTGCAAATTTTAGTTTCAAGAATAAACTACTATTTATGTTTATTGTTTTTGGTATATCTTCACAGTGTAGTTTTTGGTATATCTAACTTGGTATGTTTATTGTTTTTGTAGAAATTCTTTTCAGCTTCATTGACATTAAGGAATAAAGTTAACCTAGCCACTACAATTGCTTCGAAGCTTTCACCTGCACAAAGAAAATTGTTTGAGGAAACCTGCTTCGGGCCATGGCTGAGAGTACAACATCCGGGTGGAGATGCTAATTTGACCCATTTGTGGCTTCAGACCATGACTAACGATCTACCCGACAGTATACAACGTGGTGAGGAAGAGATATGGTTTCATTTTCCACCGGCGTATACTTGTTTTGGGCGGAAGGAGTTCTGCTTAATCACTGGTCTACGATTCGGACACGATGATGTAGGCCGGTACACTCGTCATATCACCCGCCCATCATGGTTATCCAGGGTTTTTCCTGATGAGTCAATAGAGAAGCCGAACTTACACGTCGACGACATGAAGAAATTGTTTAATAAGAAAGATGGTTTTACTCGGATGAATGACGCCGATGTTGTCCGAGTATGCCTTCTACTACTTTTGTATGCCGGCTTTTTAGGCAGAGAGGCCAGACAACCTATTCCTCAGGAGCTACTATTATTGGTAGAGGACCTAAATGCATGGAATCTATTTCCGTGGGGTTCGTATATATGGAAAGCTACCTGGACTAAGTTGTCGTCTGCCTTTGATGACCGCAAAAGTTTGCGGGGCGATGGGTCGAAATACACTTTGTCAGGCTTTGTTTGGGCCTTTAAGGTAAGAATTTCTATATAATGTTTTCAAAATTATAATTAATTATTTAACAATTACTAATGTTTGTTATTTTATTGTTTGTAGATTTGGATATTCGAGGCTTTCCCCAGCATGCGGACATATGCATTAAAAACCTCAAATGATATTCCTAGGGCTATTTCCTGGAAGAGGAAACGTCTGTTGGATTGGGAAGACTTAATACCATATGCGACAATAAATAATGTAAGTTAACACAAATACTATCATATATAAACAAGTTATTAATAGTAGACGTTTAACTTTGTTTGAGTTTTTATATTTTTAGGAGGCCAACACTCCATTAATAAGACTGACACCCACGGAGGCTGAGCATGCCACTGATTGGTGGCAAGCTAGTCAGCGTTTTCTTGATGGCACGAATGATGAGCAGCCTCCACTTCCTCCACTTCGAGAGCCATCACCTCACCCAGAGCCATCACCTCACCCAGAGCCATCACCTGATCGACCCGACTATACACCTCTACAACGAGAGCCATCACCTATCCCGTCACATCATCGAGCCTCTTCTCCACCATCACCTCATGATAGGCGACCGGCAAAGATGCCACGACTTCTATCTCCCTGTTCTCCACCTCCACCTCCATGGGATGAGTCAAGGGAGTTACGTGATGAGGTCAATGCCTTGCGTGAGGAGATCGGTACTCTACGCGATAACGATGGTGCATGGCGTGTGGAGGTGTCTACTTTACGTGGTGAGGTTGCCGCTCTACGTGAGATGGTAGTATCGTTGCAGAATGAGGTTCATACTCTACGCAACGAGGTAAGTTTAAAATTTTCCATATTTAACTTGATGATAAATTTACTCGTAATTTCACTTAGATTAACCATTTCACTTAGATTGCTTAGTAAATTTATTCGGTTGCTGCCAATACTGCTAAATTGTTTATTAACACTGTGAAGTTAGTATTTGTCTTTTGTTTTGTCTTTTGGTTGAAGTAAATTTATTCGGTTGCTGCCAATTCTGCTAAACTGTGTATTCTTTAACACTGTGAAGTTAGTATTTGTCTTTGTTTTGTCTTTTGGTTGAAAGTAAATTTGTTCGGTTGCTGCCAATTCTGCTAAACTGTGTATTCTTTAACACTGTGAAGTTAGTATTTGTCTTTGTTTTGTCTTTTGGTTGAAAGTAAATTTGTTCGTTTGCTGCCAATTGAAACTATTCTTCTTCTGCAAATTGAAACTTGAATGAATTGCATTATTTCAACCAATAGACAAAGACAAATACTAAGTTGACAGTGTTGCAAGTTTGAAACATATTTGCCTTTGTTATCTGATGCATTTTGTGAACTATGATAGAATAATGACTTGGGGGAATTCAATGCAAGTTTGAAACATATTTGTCTTTGTTTTCACTGTTTAAATATCATGTCTGTTTATTTACTGATATTTGTATTTAATTATTTAGCGGACCGATAAGGTGGATGCTTTACGTCGGGTTTTTCTTACACGACAGAGTTCACGCATCAGACGGCGTGCACGTGCTATTAAGTCTCCGTATACCCCAATAGTGCGAAGACACCGCAAGAAGAAGCCCGACTCGCCTGTCATCCCTCAAGAGTACACTCCTATCGTTGAAGAGGCCCCTATCATTCCTCGAGAGTCCCCTTCCACCGTTCAAGAGGCCACTGTCATCGTTGAAGAGGTCCCTCCCACCATTCAAGAGCCCGATTCATATGGCGTCATATGTAGGATTCTTGAGAAACCCTCTGACGTGCCGGACATGATGGATTCAAGTTGGCTTTCGTATGAGCTACCGGACAGTACCATACCGGTATCTGAAGTGGAGAGGAGACAACTACCGGACACAATTCTGGATAACACCCTTTGGGCTAAGACCACAGTTGATTTTTATCTACATGAGCGGAGCCAGGGGTGTTTCACTGACATATGCAAGCTCAACAATGATATCTATTTGTTGCTTGATCGGTCTTGGTGGGGCGTATTATTAGGGGTCGAAGACAATGGCTATTTCGATGGAGGGGTAAGTCTTATATTTTTCTTATATTTTAATTTGATTATTTTTTTTTAAATTTATGTAAGTTACTAATATATGTCTTTTTTTGTAAAACAGCATATCGATGCGTGGGTGTCACGTCTTCTAATAATTAGGAAACTTAAGGAAAATAAAAGAAATACACGATATACAATTATGCCGACGTCTTTTAACGCCGTTCACTTGAAGAATCAACGAGATGAATCATTTGCGTTGGGCAATGGACAAGCTAAACTTTATCCTGCATGGTGGGAGGTCGATAAGGTTAGTATTTATTTTAGATTGAGTTTAAAGGTATTCATAAATAAGTGCGCAAATGAATGAATTATTACTTATGATTGCATGTGTTTATCCCTGTTTTGGAACGTAAACATTGGCTTCTCGTCGAGCTTCAGCTCCCATCCCTTAAGGTAATAGAATATGACAGCATGATAAATTATATATCATTGGCTGATTTAAGAGATATTATTAAGGGATGGAGCTCTCATTTGGCTAAATTCTTGGATGCGATAAATTATTGGACTCGTTCTGGAAACAAGAAGCCAAAGAAGCTCAATATTACAGTTAGCAGAGACGAGACCGCACCACAACAAACGAAAGGACCCAGAGGGGATTGTGATCCTCTCGTATTCTTGGCGTTGGAGCGTTTGATCACAAGAAGTATAAAGTATCTACCTCCCACCGATAGAGATAGAGCTGCAGTAGGCTTGTGGTTTCGGCATTATATGGCTAGATCGATATATACGAGACACTGCCTACCTGCATCCGCGTTATAAAAATGTCCATAAATAATTGGTAAGTTTATAGGCTTGTGGTTTGAAAATGTTTGGTTAAGTACCTAGAATTCAATAATTTACTGTTTGTAGGTTTTAGATGTGTAGAAA